CCCCACTCCCCCCCGCCCCAGCCCGGGAGGCCTCAGCGCTTCCCGCCTCCCCCTCCCCTCCCCGGTCTGTGACGCAGACCCGCCCCGGGCCCTGGGGGGCGCCTCGCTCGGCCTCCTGCAAGGGAGCGGGCGGGGGCGGGGGCGCTGTCACCCAGGTTATTCGTGGTGTCGTGTCGTCACTGTTACTATTACCAGCAGCATTGTCATTGTCATCATTACTATCATCATTATCGATATTATTACTATGGCCGGTATTATTGTCATCAGTTTCCACGTCACCATTGATATTACTATCATTATTAGCGTTACTGTTCTCCTTACGAATATTATTATCCATATGACTCATACTACTGCCCTTATACTTACCATCATCGATAGGACTACTACTAGTATTATTGTATGTATGGCTAACACGATGATTGTCTTTGTTATTAATAAGATATGTATTATTAATATTAATATTGCCCACATCGTTGTCATTATTATCAATAGTATCATGGATATTATTAGTAGTATCATTGACATTATTGTCATAATTATTATTCACGTTAATGATATTACCATTATCCTTGTCCTTATGATCAATAGCATTAATATGATTATTCATATAATTATTGGCATGATTATTGTCATCATTATTATTCATACTATTAATTATATTACCATTATCCTTCTCATTATGATGATCACTACTATTATTATTCATATAATTGTTAACATGATTATTTCATCATTATTATTCACTATTATAATAATTATTATACTATTAATGATATTGCCATAACCCTTGTCATTATGACCAATAGAATTAATATTATTATTCATATAATTATTAACATGATTATTGTAATCATTATTATTCATGCCATTAATGATATTACCATTATTCTTGTCATTATGAACAATAGCATTAATATCATTATTATTCATATCATTATTAACAAGATTGTTGTCATCATTATCATTCACTATTATAATAATTAGTATACCATTAATGATATTATACTATTAATGATAATACCATTATCCTTGTCATTATGATCAATAGCATTAATATTATTATTCATATAATTGTTAACATGATTATTGTCATCCTTATTATTCATACTATTAATGATATTACCATTATCCATGTCATTATGGTCAATATCATTATTAATATCATTAGTCATCCCATTATTGACATGATTAACAGCATTATCATTCATGTCATTATAATTATTTTCCCTGTTATTATGATGAATATCATTAATATTATTATTCATACCATTTTTGACATGATTATTGTCATAATCATTATTCATATTATTAACAGTACTATTATCCCTGTCATTATGATCGTTATCATTAATATCATTATGAATATCATTATTAACATGATCTTTGTCATCATTATTATTATTCATATTAGTAATAATATTACCATTACTGCTGTCATAATTACCAATATCATTATTAATATTATCAATATCAGTATTAGCATTATTGTTATTGTCATCTTCATGAATATTGTTCATATTATTAATTATGCTGTTTCCAATATCATTGTCATTATTGTCAATGTAATTGTTGATACTGTTAACATTATCGTGATGCTGATGATGCTTTTGGTTCTGAGGCAGCTCCATGGCACTAAAACCATAATGGGGAGGGGTGGGAAATGCATCAGGAGCAGTAAACAAAAAAAGCATGAATCATAAGCGTGTGTGAACTTAATAGATTGTGTGCTGCCTGTGAGAAGGTTACAGGTTAACGACTTCTTTTGCAAGCTTCATTCATTAGCCTCTTGGCTTCCTGCTCCTTCCATAGTGGGAAACACCAGAGAGAAGGCCCCTGTGTGTCAAAGAAGAATAGCGCACCACATCTGCTCCTCACCTTTTATATCTGCCATGAATGCATTCAAACAGTGCTAAACCCAAGGGAGGTTCCATCAGAACAGAGAAATTCACCTTGGAGGCATCTACCCAACGGGGAGGAGTGCTGCAAAGGGCACTGTGCCACTGGGACATCATTACGGAAGGAAAGGTTTTGTGGTGAATAGCTAGGAGAGGGATACAGTGGCAAAACTGGATAGCGTGTCATCACCTTCTAGCTCATAAATCATCATATAAAATGCATGAAAGGCTGCAGGCAATAAAATGATACACAGTGTGCCTGCAAACCACTTGCCTTGCTGAAATTAGTTGTTTGGAGGAGGAAAGAGAGGGTTTCTCCTTTAAGAAAATAATCAAAAAGGTCATGATTTCCTCAGGATACTCTTCTGCTACAACCAGCTTTAACTCCTGCTTTAGTGAACCATCAAAAGTCTCTTGAATCAAACCCTCTGTGAGTGCAGGTGGAAGGGGTAAAGGCAAGCTTTCCCTAAGTCAACTAGAAATATTTTTGCTTCTTATTCTTGAGAAGCCACAGCCTGATTAATCCCCCAGAGGGGCACAGGAGTCAAACATTTAGCAGAAGTTCTATTAATGTTCCTCTCACTCATCACCGAGCTAGTAAATCTGGTATAAACCCGAATTAGAGTTTTCATTCTAGCCTAGGCAAAGTTCTGTATTTCAACAGAGCAAGAAATTCAGAACATAAAGCCATACTTTCAGAGGAAGAAAAATCACTACTGTGCATTTTAAATATTGATTTATGCCACAACAGCTGGACTGCAAAGTCCCTTGTGCCTCGATTTGGCTCTCAGTATTCAGTGATAAAAAAAAGACCAAAAGCCCTTTAAAGCAAACAGAAGAAAGATTTTTTTTTTCCACGTACTGATCTGAGTGAATATGTCCTATTTGGGAGAACATTAGATAGGAGCAAAGTGTGCACCAGAAATCAGAGGAGGGGGGGAAAAACTTTTTTACTTTTGAAACTTGAACTGCATATCATTTGTCAAGACGTTTGTAAAGATTTTAATGATGAATACACATTCCGAAGGTATTAGTAACCTCTGGTAATGTACTATACAGAAATGTTTAGCTCTACAAAATAGTTTAAAATAACTGCACATACATGTGTGTGCAAGCATGCACATATATCTATATGGTTATAGATGTGTATGTCTGTCCAGTTAATTTAAGCTTTTTTTTCTTATATATAAAATGGTAACTGAAGTTTGGAAAAAAACATTCTAATGTGTAAGACTACATGTCACCAAATATGCTATAAAATTCAAAGAAGGCATTTGAAACCTGATGACTTCAATGAATGATATCTATTAGACTAACACCCATTTCATGGTTTGATGTGAAGAGTTGATGGGTTGTAAAGTATTACAATATCAACCCTACTGTAATCATTTTTTTCTAGACTGGCTACTGTAAGTACCATGATAAATGCCAATAAGTAAACAAAACTAGCCATATTGTAACTATGAGTTATTGTGATTAAAGTTTTGAAATATAAATCAACAAAATGACTTAAAACAGACTTTTGAATGTAGCTAACACCATTCTAGCAACTTGTGAATAAAATTATATGACAAGTCGGATATGCTGCCTTTGCAAACCATGTTCTGTCATTGTTTTCACATTCAGCAAGTATTATGTCCTTTGTAGTTCTGTAATTTTGTTCTTGTACTTGGGGCCTCTATTTATCAAAATTTTACTCATAGGATTGTAATTTTAATGGTTATTGAATCCTGTGTACATCATAACACAACTATTTGCTATGAATCATAGGTATAGTGCTTTTTGTATTGGTTTTTAATAGGTTATTACACAGTATGCATATCAGAGTCTTTTTCAAATCTGAAAATGGATAAACACCTTTCTACCATGTTACCATGTTAATTAGATGTGGTTATCTCCCAGGGATTTGTTACTTTGCACTACACTCACCAATGTAAAAATGATCTCTGTCAGTATGTAGTGAATAAGAACCACAACAATGTAGCCCTTGTCACGATAGTATACAGGGAAAAGGTGATTTCCTGCCACAGAGTAGAAGAAAAAAATAGTATGTTTTATTTACGTTTTGAAGTTTCTGTTGTTGGTGCTTCTGCTGCATAAAACATGTTCCTTTGACTAGTCCCATGTACAAAGCAAAAGACATAATGGGTGCTGACAGAAGTGACATTTTGTCACGCAGTTGACCCCTGGAAAGCACTCTACAGTCATTCCCTGACAGAAGTACACAGCTGCAGAGCACTTTAAAAGTGCCCAATCACACAACACATGAACCCTCATTACAAAAGGATTTATATGAAGGTGCTCCAAAGTAGAACAACTTCATTAACTGGTCAGTGCTCACTGGAAGCAGGGCTGGGCTGCTGCCCCTGGTGCTGTCTTCAGGATGGGAGAGGGGAAAGGAGGGGATGGAGTTTGGTCTGGGGTTTGTCCAGCCTATGCTGGAGGGAGAAGCAGGTGGATTGGAGCCCCTCCCACCTCAGGTGGGGCTTTAGTCCACCCATCCTTCTCCTCCAGTGCAGGCTGGGCAAACCCCAAACCAAACTTCCTCCCTTCTTTTCTCTCCCTCCCACCCTGAAGATAGCGCTAGAGCTGGGAGCATGGTGAGGGTGGGAGAGGTAGGGAAGTGAGGTTGCAGACGTGCAGACTGGAGCTCAATCATCCAGCCCCTCAGACCCAATGGAGAACATCAGTTGGGTCAGGGGGATCTCTGTAATTCATGGTGCTTCCTGTTAAGCACCATGAGTTACAGTGGGGAGCTGCATGTCTGTCAGCACCCTGTGTAGCATAGATCATTGTATGCCAAGACAAACAACAAACCACATTTAACCACATTTAAATCTCCAACCAATTAAACTGTTGGTGTCCTAGGTATACAGGACACCAGAGAAATAAATGTATTAGAGGGATGAAATATACTTAAAATGATTATAATAAGTAGTTTTGAAAATGAAAAAAACGTGAGAAATGAAGATCTTCATGCCTGATGGGGAAAAGGAAAGCGTATTTATGCCTGCTATGTTAGAAAAACATAACAAAAATCATGATACTTGAGAAGCTACTAAGGTCCTTGCAAGCTTGGGTTACCTGTAAGTCTTGTTTATGAAGTTTAGCATGCTTGCATTATGCTTTTCATTCATTAAAATCTATCCGCACTTGATCCACTTCTACTAAATGTGAGTGTTTATACACATTCTCCAGGAGACAGGCAGAGGTGCTTTAATTAAAGCACCCAGAGCATTCAACAAGCTTTAGTTAAAGCGCCCACACCACCATTTTTCAGTACGGGGACATGGATACACATGATGCTGGAGTCTGCGGTAGTTACCACTCTCCAGCAGACTTGGTAAATCAAGTCTGCTCCAACACACTGGAATTGCATGTAATTACAGATCACTGGAGCAGCTTCTCATGTAATGACAGCATGTCAGAGCAGCCTCAATGCACTGCATAGGATCATTAGAAAGCAAGAGTGGAAGGGACCTCACAAGATCATTTAGTCCAGCCCCCAGCTCAAGGCAGGATCCTTGACTCAAGCATCCCAGTCAAGTGTCTGTCTAATCTGCTCTTGAAAACTTCCAAGGATAGGGATTCCACAATATCTCCAGGTAGCCTATTCCAAGGCACAAAGACCCTGATAGTCAGAAAGTTCATCCTAACATCCAACCTAAATTTTATCTGCTGAAGCTTGAGTGCATTGCTCTTGGTCCTGTCCCCTATAGCCACAAAGAAAAGCCCAGCACCATCCTTCCTA